ACAGATCTTGGGAGCTTAAGAATAATGGGGAATTGATTGAATTTGAAGCCTGGTTAATTGGTTGGGGGGGGGTCAGGGACAGGGGAGGGAGAGGTATATCAGATGGCAGCTTTGCACAGGCTGCAGAAAGAAATGAAGTGTTCACCTAGCCATGACCATCATTCCCTGGGGTTTGTGGGAGGAGAGAGAATGGGACATGGGCTCTCCTCCTGGGCTAACAGCTCTCTCTGCCTGCTCTGTGTGGTTTCAGCAGAGCTTTGTCAGGTGGCATGAAAGGGGAGTTGCATGCTCTGTACATGGGAAAGAGAAGGAGACACAAAAATATTGGTGAGGAAAGGAATCAAATCTGTCAGTGTCCAGAGTAGCCCTGAAAAATACCTATACTTGAGCTTCCTCTGCAGGGAATTAACCTGGAGAGATGCACTCTAAGGCCACATCCAGACAAGTGTGGATGTGCAGTATGTGGTGCTGCAGACCTCTCTGCAGCACCACACATGCAGGCACTACCCACACTGCTACCTTACAGGGGAGTTGGGGTTTGATCCCAGGAGATCCCAGGGTCAAAAAAAATACCCACACCAAAAAAAGTGGGAGAGCATATGTGGCGGCAACCATTCAAAATTGGAGCCCGACCAGCCGGAGCCACAATCTGGCTACCAGTCAGACTTCCTGCCATAGCTGCAGCCCTGGGAGGCCACCAGAACACCAGCTGAGGCTGCTGGGGCCAGCACAGTTGCTGGCCCAAGCCTCCCCTACCCCACCCAGGGTAACCTGCTGCACGCCAGAGCACGTATGGTACGAGAGTTCCCTGGGGACAAGTAGCAGCAACACGGGGTGTGCTGCTGCTACTTGTCCTGGGGGAAACAAACATCCGCTCTTGTCTGAATGTGCTCTAAGAGTCAGCCCTGGGTTCAGTGTTACCATTGAGCAAGGGTTGCCTGTTACTATCTGTGTGTGGAAGGCAAGAGGTGTGGGAGAAGCCTGGGCAGTAAGAGGACAATTAGATCATCCATGAGGACTGGGGAGACCAGCATTGAACCTCCTGCTCCCCAAGGATCTTTTGTAAGCGAAGCTAGGGGCTCTATGCCTCCATCCCTTCCATGCAATGAGGATATAGCCCACTTCATGGGAAATGTGACCAATTAAAGCATCTGAATTTTAAGGCAAACATACAGCTTAGTGCCTAAAGCAGGGAGCTGGATTGCCACTGAGTCCCTGAGTCACCTTGTGCAAAGCATAATCTCTGTGCATCACTTTCCCCTCTCTGACCTGGTGGTGAGCTTTGCACCTCCCCTGGCTTGCTTTTGTGAAGTACTGAGATGAAAGGTTGTGCATTTCCTGGTACAGCTGCATCACACAGCCAGGAAGGCAGGCCTAAGACCTGATATGAGGGTCCCAGATATGGATGTGTTGTCTCTTCGTGGCACTGCTTCTGACAGTCCTGCCTTCTTCCTGTGTTCTTCCCTCCTTCACCCCTGCCGACTGCTGCCATGGCAGGTCTGGTGCCGTCTGGTCACAGCTGCCTACAATTATTTCCATGTCACCAACTTCTTCTGGATGTTTGGCGAGGGCTGCTACCTCCACACGGCCATTGTTCTCACCTACTCTACAGACAAGCTTCGCAAGTGGATGTTCATCTGTATTGGCTGGTGTGAGTATCTGGGAGAAGGGCTGAGAGGGAGGTGGTGCTTCTGGGCCAGTGCCACTCATCATGTGAGCAAGATATTTGCTGACTGGGGTTGGCTGGCAAGCAGCTACCAATAACATGTTGCACTACAAGTGTACCTTCTCAGCTCCACCTGTTGTTGCTCCAGGTTGGAGAAAGATGGTAGGGAATTCATTACAGCTGCTAATGCAGCCTGCTGGTGGGTGTGTACTACAGGCGCCCCCTGTGCCAGTTCATCATGCATAGTGTCTGCACAGCTTGAGGAGCTGCCTCTTCAGCATAAGCTGTAGCAGCTGCTGCTTCTAGCTCTGGAGGGCCCCAATATAATCCTAAATTCATCAGCCAAGACAGCAGGCATCGCACCAGCTCAGGACAAGTTTGTCCACATGGGCACCAGCACTATATTCAGGGAGCCCACATAAACCAACTGCCAACATTCCCCACAGGTTAACCCCCAGGAAGAAGTTTTACCAGCATGGCATAACTGCCTGGTACAGCTCTAGTGAACAGATTCAATGTTAGTCTGGGGCCCTCATCTCTGGTAGGCCAGATGGCTGTACCAAAGAGTTAATGGCTTATGGGGCCCCATGCACTTGGCAGTGCCCAGAGGCAGTGAGCCTGTCTGCAACAGGGAGTGGGTAGTCCTGTGCCAGCTCCCTTCCTGGTCTGTGAGCTGGACATCTCTGTGATGTGACTGCCCCAGAATTGGCGTTTCACTGGGGAGATCAGAGACAATCAACTCTTTGTGCACATCTGCGCTGCAGAGTAGCTAGAGCCCTAGCTGGGTATGCATAGGACTCAATGTGGATCCCACCAGGAGAGTGGCTGAGGAGGACAGAAGCAGCCCCTCATGCTTCACTACATTTTATGCTTTTTTTTTTACCTGATTTCTATTTATTTTTAATTTAAAAAGTTCAAGGCCCTTCCACAATTGGGTGAAAAATGGGGAAATGTAATGGAAACATCAACAACATGTTCCCCCTCTTTTTATTTCAAAATTTTTAATTTGGAAACTTCATCTGAATTAAAAAGAAAAAAAAACTTCCAGCCAGTTTCTGGGGTGTCTCTGGGATATGCACTAATGTTGGGGTTCCCAGGATCTGGGTCAGAAATCCATATATATGCTGCACTGCTGCCATTGAGATCTGCATGTGTGTCCTTCACAGGTATCCCCTTTCCAGTCATTGTTGCCTGGGCAATTGGGAAGCTGTATTATGACAATGAGAAGTAAGCCTGATTTCTGCTACTACTGCTACCACCACCATCATCAAACTGTTCCTATTGCAGAGGCCCCACTCAGGATATCTGTTGTGCTAGGTGCTGTACAAATATAGACATGGACATGGTTTCTACCCTGAAGAGTTTACAAGGCAAGATACATACAAAGGGCTGGGGGAAAGACAGCATATTTTCTTTCTTCCTTTCCTGCTTTCTTTCTTTCCGCTGCACAAGTGCAAGTTGCTCTTAGTGGCTGATTGTTGCTGGACCTTTCTCTTAAAACAATAAATGAGACTTCAGATTCAGAGTCCCTACAAAATGTTTGTTAAATGAAGCTGGGATTTAATCTACAGGCAGAGCTATAAACTGCTACCACCTGAGCCATTTTCACAGAGACCTGCTAATGGAGGGCTTAGCGGGAACCTGATGTGTTCATCATCTGTATTGTGGAGTTAAAAGGAGCCTATTTAGGTGAATGGCAGCTTGCCTCTTTTTTCAGCCCCAGCTTTGCCCTGTAACTCTACAGCCCTTTCTACACAAACAGACGATGCACTGCTTTAATATATATAGGTGGAAAGCTCCAGCAGACACTCTGAAACCTGGCCTTCATAGGATGTTATACTAGCATAAATTAGGCAAGAAGAGTTAAACCACTATAGCTAGACCAGCACAGCTCTCTCTATGGGACCTTCCTAGCTTAGTTTAACCTGCTTCCAAGCTAACCCAGAAAAAAAGCACTCTTACTGGAAGGAGAGTGTCCATAGGAAGAGCTGGTCCAGTGTCAGGGCAATGCTTTAGATGCATACCTTACATAGATTCACACCTTATAGTTTAATTTCCTGTACAAAGGAGTTATCTTCCTTCTGGGTGCATCAACATGTCACTGTAGAGCGACCTAACAACACGCTACATTGCTGTATGGTGCACTACAGTGACATAGCGATCACGCGGGTCTACACATGATCGTTAGCTACATCACCCTAGTGGTGTGCTCCCCGCTTATAGTGTACCAGTACGACAACATAGCGGGAGAACTTAAGCGTGCACCATCTGTACGGTGCAGTACAGGTGGTTACTGCACCGTGTTTTAGTACTTCCAAAGGGAAGTACTAAAACATGGCTCATTAACGTCACCATAAAGCGACGTGTAGACACACCCTCTGAGAGAGAGCAACTTGTGCAGGGACACCCCACAAAAGGCTGGTGAATCTCCAGGTAGCACCTGGCTCTCCTTCGTCCCAATGCTCCATCCAGTATGTAACTCCACCCTAGTTTAGCTAGAAGGAGTCATCTGCCCACAGATGTGTACCTCTATATTTGGAGTGATTGAGTCCGATGCTCTTGGCAGCAACGGGTGGATTACAGCAGTGCTAAAGGCTGCATAGATGCTCATGATGTCAGTTTGAAGCAGGCCTACCACGGTAGTTTGGGAATAAGTTTAAGATAAAAGGCCACTAAGAAACTAAATCAGAGTGGGGGCCCCAGGAGATTTTCAGTCTGTGATCATCTGGAGCCTGATTTTCAAAAAATCCCAGGGCTCTGTGAAAAAGGCTTAGCAGCAAACAATGAGATGAGGGCCTGATTTGCAGCAGCAGCAATGAACTGAGGTCCCGTGCAAATCAAAACACTGATCTCAGGGCCTAAATGCATTTTCAGAACAATTTAAGTTATCCCAATTTGTCTTTTTCATGTAGAGTGAGCCTTAAACTATCCTGGCATCAGAGCATTCACACAGCCTTTGGCATTCTTTGGACTGGTTTGGGTTTGCATTCTCCATTCAGTTAAGTCAGTGGGACTTTTCATGAGCATCAACAATAGGCCAGCAGTTCCTAAACTCTTCAAATGGATGACCCCATTTCTGGTCAGCTTGTGACCCTGCTTCTGATACAGGGCCAAGTGCTATAAGTGAATGTCCATGTGGTTCATGACCCCATTCGTACATGCTATGATACCACTGGTGGGGGGGTGAATATTTTGAGATTGACTGCCATAGGGCTCATCCCCCTGGTAGAGTCAGGACTTCAATGGTCCCCTTTAGGGAAGACAAATAAAGGAGTGTTGTCCAGGAAGATCAGGTGCTTGCATGACCAATTGTTTTGTTGTGTTGAGAACAAACCCAGGACAGGCAGTAATTAATGTGCTTTGGGCCACTGTAACACCCAGGCCATAGAAATGCATGGCAGCCATGATGTTTTTAACTATCTTTCCCACATCCATGGTGGGTTCCTGGTGCTGTACTTTTGGTAGGCTTTATAATGGTCAGGCCAAATTCCCAAAAGAACTCAGGGCCCACTTCTCTGAATGTCCTCCTGCCCCTTTGGGCCCACTTTATTTAGATCTCCTGCAAAGCTGGCCACTGATTTCACAACCCACATGCAAACCAAGGACTGCTGAATATTCTGGCCTTAGTGCCTAGCATATTTCCCACCAGGATCCTGATATGTGTTGCTGGCTCGTGGCCTCACTGAGCTAAGATGCAATGTTAACATAGTAAGCTATCTAGTAAATCAATTGGGGATGGCTGCTGATCTGAAATTGGTGTAACCCCCCTGGTCTCTGCAGTATCTCTATCTGATTTATACCCATGTCAAGGAGAAGAGGCAGGCCCCTGGCAGCAGCAAAGACTGTAAATCATGGGGTGGATCCCCTGGGCAGGGAGGGGTTTGTTCCAGCCACCCCACAGTCCCAGTAATGGATGCAAAGGATCATGACTGTTGTGCCTAAACACTCTCTGCATGGCCCTTATTCTGACCATCCCATCCATTTACCTTGCAGATGCTGGTTTGGGAAGCGAGCAGGCGTTTATACTGATTACATCTACCAAGGCCCTATGATCCTGGTGCTCCTGGTAAGAGCAAATACTCTTGCTCCCCTCCTGTCCTCTTCCCAGGGGTTTCACTGCGTCCTGATTCTGATGTGGATGTTAATCCTGGTGCTGCTCAGGCATCTTCAACCAGAGACCATAGAGCTGCCCTTTGGTATCTTTTGTAGGAGAGTGTCTACCTGGGCAGACATGGCTCTCCAGGGAAATGACCAGTTTTATCATCAACATTTTCCCACTGAAAATTCACCCAATGAAAAATACCACCGGATTTTTGCAGGGCAAAAAACAAAGTCAGTTTTCTGATAAGCTTGAGTGATGGAAATCACTTTTCAGTGTATCCAATGACTTTGGGCTGCAGACCACCCTGGAGATTACAATAGCCTAGTACTATACAGACCCAGGGCAAGCCAGAAGGTCTAACATGCTCCACCTCTCTCATGGGACAAACTGAAGCAACCAAAACTTCTTATAGGGCATTTATACATGTGCTCCAGGAGTGGAGGTGGGAGAGGGGAAATTTTAATTAGAGCGATTCTGAGCAGCTCTAATTAAAGCACCCAGAGTATCTCGTGTATCAGCGTCCCTGTGCTTAAAAATGGCAACGGGGGCACTTTATCTAAAGCTCACCAAGCAAGAGCGCTGATATACAAGACACTGGAGTCTGCTGGAGCATGCTCCAGCAGACTCAGTTAATCAAGTCTGTTCCAATGTGCTGTAATTACAGCGTGCTGGAACAGCCTCGCTGCTCATGTGTAGGCGCCCAATGTGATCAGGACAGTTAGTACACGATGCATCTAGAACAATCAGCCTAACCAAGCAAGGCCATCACCAGAATGCTCAACCCTTCCAAGCTAAACCCCAAACCAGAATCTGATGCCTTCTGCCTCAGCTGATAACCACTTGGTCAGCTGCTGATAAGCAGCAGTAGGGGCCTGCTGTCTGCTGAGGACCATGAGTCCCTAGGCACCACCATAGTATGTACAACAGTTAAGTAATGGTATTGACATGTCTTCATCATTACCTGTCGCAAATCCCCTTTCACACATCCTTAGCCATCCTGCACCTCCATGTCAGCATTGTCCTTTGTACGCTTTATATAGTTTGTTTTTGACAGAGAATAGAGGAGGGAAGCTGTGGAGGGCTTCTCCAAAGAGAGGCAGCAAAATGACCATCCAGGAGAAGGGATAGAACTGATCTCACGCTGATGCCAGGATGTTCTCAGTTCCTGTAAAGTTGCTTTTTCTTCCTTAAAAACATAGTAGGGTGAGTGTCTGTTACACTATCTAACAAAGCTGGTCAAACAGTCTTCATCCAAGTAGCTCTGCTTTTAAAGTCAGTTAGGCATTTGAGTCTATTTGACCAAAAATGAACAAGGACCTTGGACGTGAGTTTTTTGCAAAGCCCTGGTGAAGTATTGAAGTTCTGAGGCATCCCAGTCACAGGGTGTGGCTTCTTGGTCCTTTATTGGATGACCTACCCATTATAAACAGGAGACCTGAATTGCCAGGGCTTGGCATTGCTCAAGGAAAGGCTGGAATCAGGTTGTGTCAAGAGAATTGGCCAGAGAGCGGCAGCCCTAAGTAACCAATTTGGGCTTTCATGGGAAGAGCTATGTTATTGACTCCAAGATGAACATGGGCCGACAATGCGAGGTCATGGTTGGCAAGGCTAACCGGACCTTGTCGTGCATCCACAGGTGCATCTCGAGTAGAGCCAAAGAGGTGATCCTCCCCCTCTATGCGACACTGGTCAGGCCACAGCTGGAGTATTGTGTCCAGTTCTGTGCGCCCCAGTTCAAGAGGGATGTGGACAATATGGAGAGGGTCCAGAGGAGGGCCACCCGCATGATCCAGGGACAACAGGGCAGACTCTACAGTGAGAGACTGCGGGACCTGAACCTATTCAGCCTCCACAAGAGAAGGCTAAGGGGGGACCTGGTGACTGTCTATAGACTCACTAGGGGGGACCAGAGGGGTTTGGGGGAGACGCTGTTTCCCCTAGCGCCCGCTGGCATAACAAGGAGAAATGGGCACAAGCTGTTGGAGAGGAGGTATAGATTGAACATCCGCAAAAACTACTTCACCGTTAGGGCGGCTAGGAGCTGGAACCAACTTCCAAGGGAAGTGGTGCTGGCCCCTACCCTGGGGGTCTTTAAGAAGAGGCTGGATGCCCACCTAGCTGGACTCGTTTGAGTCCCATTTCTCTTTTTGGGGTTTTTGTTGTTCTCCCGCCCTGGCGGGGGGTCGGGCTAGAAGATCTACTAGGTCCCTTCCGACCCTTAATCTATGAATCTATGAATCTATGAAAGGTCCCCACAGCTTCACCTTCCTTCCTGTGGAACAGATATAATACCTACAGGTTTTTAATCACCAGCACCAGCCAGCATTCCCTCTATCTCTCTGAATAATACAGCCCTGCTTTTCATTTTTTAGCCCTTAGGTAGCTAGACCATTTTTAATCTGTGTCAATTGTGCTTGGGTTTGTATGCTGCTCTCCCCATGACCTCATTAATGGAACAGCAGTCAGGAAGGCACTGGATTGAACCAGCAGCCTTCAGCCACCAACTCCTTCTCCTTGCCTGGAGGAGCCCAAAATCCCCTTTGCACTTCTCTTCCTTTTTCATTCGCCTTATCCTGATTTTCTTTCACACCTTTTTCTACCCTTCTTCCCCTCTCATTTTTAACTCTGCTTCTCCAGGTCACTCTGTGTCTCTGCCCTCCTCATCTCTCTCCCTCTTAAACAACCTAGATTAAACATTTCACTTCACTCCAGTAAAGTGCTTTGAAGATGATCTATGCAAAAGTCTCATTTCCTGAGCCCTGTGTATCCTGTGTGCTGGATAAGACAGCCAGCATGGGAAAAACAGTATAGGTGATCACATCGCTAAAGACCATCTCAGAATTAGACTGGATCAGCATTTATCTTCAAAAAGCAGGGTAGGGCTTGTCTATTTTTTAACTGAAAAATAAACACCTACCCCCCAAGCCCTCCCCGCCCACCCCCCACACACACACTTTTTCCCAGAGCTCTGGAATTTTAATTGAAACAGATTTTGAAAATCAAAATGTTTTAACCAAAGATGCTTGTCTCCCAGTTTTCAATTGTAATTTTTCATTAAAAAAAGGAACATTTTGAAAACAAAGGCAGTTTTGTTTGCCTGCTTTAAGACTGTATGAGCTACCTTAATGTAGCCACTTTTCCTACTTTGAGTTGTTCTTTTTAATACCTCTTCCCCTGAGCTTTAACATGATCAGTTGAGGGACTATTGTGCTGGGTGTTGTGCACACTCTGAAACAGATGTGGTCCCTGGCTTGCAATCTGAGATGTGCAATGTCCAAAAGGCAGCAAAGACAATTACTGTAGATACAATTTTTATTAAAGGGAGCATCAACCATTGTAGAATCATAGAGAAGTAGGGCTAGAAGGGACCTCCAGAGGCAGTATCATCTCTATCCAAACCATCCTATACAATCCGTAATCTAAACTCTGCGTCAACTCTGATACAACATGGACATAACACCCTAACTTGCCACAGGTAAAGCACAGGAACCATGGCAACCAATGTCTTACTTCTGTAAAGGTTGTCAATATATGCTCAGAGGATCCCAGGTAAAGGGCCACACCTCCTGCTACAGAGGAAGGCAAAACCCCCCATCATCCATACCAGTCTGGCCATGAAATAAAATTCCTTCCTGACAGATACAGCAATCAGTCTAACCCTGAGCAATGGAGCAAGACCCTCTAGCCCAAAACCTCCAGCTTTGGTCCCAGCAGAAGCATTGACATACCCCAGTCAAAATCCCCAGCCTTGGCTGTAGGCTCTGAAACTTGGGGCATTCCTGCACCAAGCCCAACACATGCCCAGAAGAGGCAGTGCCTTACCTGCACCTGCCTTGCCCAACATCTATATAGATTGAGTGCTTTAGTGGGGCTTTTTTGGCACTTTTATCTAATAGCTGATTGACTTAGCTTTAGCTAAAAGTGCAAAAAAGCCCCACTGAAGCACCCAATCTATACAGAAACTGCAGAGCTGGGTCAAACTAATGTGTTGCTTCTTCCAGTAAAGCGTGTTTTGGGGGGTGTTTTTTAACATCTGCAAGCATTCAGGGAAACTTCATGTCGTGGGGCACTCCCGCACCCCACTCCTAAGGAGGCTCAACCGCAGGAAGGGGAGAGGTGTAGCAGGGCACCAGGGTGCCTGCTCCTGGTGGTGGTAAATGGGGGGAGCTGCCAATCAGCAGGGCAGCTCAGGTGCGGGTTGCTGGAGCAACCAGGGTGGTCACGTGACCAGAAGGGGGCAGGGCCAGGCCCTTATAAACAGCCAGGCCACAGCCTGGCTGGCAGTTCCCTTCTGGCAACTTGAGGGGTAAGAGCTCTGTGGCAGGGCAGGGCACCCAGAGGGCTGCATGATGGTCAGGGTGAGGAGAAGCCTGACCAGGAGGCTGTGGGTCAGAGAGCCAGGTGGGCCTGGACTTTATGTTGTGGCCGGTAGGCTTACTATTTTGTTATAGCTGGTAGGCTTGTTGTTTTGTTATTGCCAGTAGGCCTATTGTTTTGTTACAGCTGGGTGGGCTTATGGTTCTGTTGT